CTTCACATAAAATAGCACTTAACAAAAAAAATGTCCAAATTAAAGTACTTGTGGGACCGTTAAAGATGACGAAGAATGGTGGCAGTCACAAAGTGCAAGTTTACTCCAGTGAAGCTCATCGTGGAGGAAGGCCAGGTCCTCCAGAGGATGCTTCATGAAATCACACGAGAAAAAACAATATCTACATTGACTAGAGAATATCCCATCCTCCCAAATTTTCTCATTTGTGCATCTGAAATGAGGGCAGTGTAAACCCTACGTTTTGCAAGGTGCAGTGTCCGTGCTCCCTGAGCCCCTTATTCCACCACCCGAGGCCGGCGAGCACAGCTCAGTGCCAGGGCACTCTGGTTAGTGAACCCAAAACATTATTGACTGAGCCAATACCAGCCTAATGGGAACCTGGTCTTCGCATATGTAGCATAATTTTGATATTCTTGAACCACCTAGGAATTGTTTAATCAACAAAGCCAGCAGGAAACCATCAAATGGCAGGAGATAGAAGTGCGCTTGTTTGCCAAATAATTTTGGGAATGCTCAAGCCTCTTGGGTTTCCTGTCCTGAATGGGGCTTTCCACATCTTGTTGGGCGACATCTTCAGTTTCTCTAGGAGGGATTTCTGTGGTCAGCTGGGGTCTGTGTCTACGCCCACCAGTTTCACCTTCATGCTCCCCTTGTGAGCAGCTGCATTTACAGGAGCTGCTGCTCGGTCAACCTTAGATCTCTCCTAATGACCATCTGGACACATATTTTCTGTTCTGGAGGACTGAAGGCTTTTTCTGCATTGCAGCAGTTTCCTGACCCAGCTGTGGTTGTTTTATAGGAAAGATTAAATCTGAAGGCACAAGATATTTTTGCATTCTCCCATGAGAATTCTTGCATGAGAAAACTGTATTTTTAAATTCTGATGTACATTCACTGATCTGTTTCTATGCTTAAGTTGAAATATGGTCAATATGCCTGAATTTCAAAGTATTTCCTCTAAAATCGTGGGTTTGTCCCTATTCTAGCCCTTTATTGGGCACTGATCCTTTTGAGTTAAATGCACTGAACACGGGAAGTGCCATGAAACCGTAATCCATGGCCTGACTGGTTTATCTTGTTGTCTCATCTCTTCTTTCCAGATAACTCAAGTGTCATCTGTAAACTCTTCAGAGCCAAGACATGGTCTGATTTCTACACCCAAAATTCCACAAGCTCTGAGACACCTTGGAGTCCAGAGAGAAAACATTTATAATTCCTAAAATTATAAAAATAATTTACATATTCTCCACCAAACGGTTGAAATTAAGCATGAACATACTGTTCACCCTTCTAGTAACACCTGGTTCACCAGAGAAGCCAACACATCCTGATGGGACCCAAGTTCAGCCCAGGCGGTGGCTCGTTCCCAGGCACCATCAGTGGCAACCACTATGGACCTCGAAAGCAGAAATACACTGGAGGTGGAGTAAATCAGAGATTTGCTTTGGATGCAGCCATATAACATCACAATAAAACTGTTCTTTTTAAACATACGCAGAACATGTACTCCTCATTGTTGCATATTTTTTTAAAACCTACCAACTTGGTGTGACTTCAGGGGAAGTTTTGCTTTTAAAAGGAGGCTTGCATACATTGAGACACCAAAATTAATTTCTAGAAAGAACCAATGAGTTTCTGTTAGTTGTAATATATCACACTGGATCTTTGCCTTTGCTTCTTTTAGAAATGAAGAATAAATGTTCTTAAACAATTATCTTAATCCAACAAATTGAAAGAAATGTTATATTGTAAAAATTTTACATTGTAAAAAATGTACATTTTTTTGCAAGTGTTGTTATGGGGATACAACTAAAATGCTGTAAATGACTTGTATTCACACGTGTGTATCCTTCTCAAATAGGTTACATCAATTTTTGAGACTTCTGCAGCGTGCAATGTATTCACCTTTATTTCACATAACATTCAGACGCAACGCAATTTTTTAAAAATTCAATTTTATTTAGTTTTTCTATATATTTCTGTTCAGAGGAAGGGTTCCTAACATTAGAAGAGTCATAATTGATAGATTGGTAGCCGGCATAAACTTTCATCTCAATTATGTTCAGTAATGCTGACAGATAGGTTGCAAATACCAAACAGTCACTAAAAAGAAATAAAGCCTCTAACACAAAACCTGCCACTGATTCCTCAAAAGACATGGTCGGTCTGAACAGTGACATAAACAGCTCCTTCAGTCTAAGATATTTCATATGAGAAATTATTTTAAGACTGTTTTGTAAAGACCATTAGTTAAGACAAACAAAAATAGACCACAGATTAAACACAAAGTCTGCTCTTCAAGCCTGATGGACAAGTCTTCCTGCCTTCAAAGGAGTTTCTTCCTGGGTGTACTTTCAGAACAATTTCTTCTGAAAATGTTTTGCAGCTGTATTTTAATTCCTAATCAATCATTTTATTCCTTTTTTACTACAAAGTTAATCTAAAAATAAGCATATCTCTTTTCTTCTTCCTCTGAACCTGATACCAAAGCTTTTGCTTAAAGGTTAAACTTGAAATCCCATTTTTAATAACTTGCTGATACTGCTGATTGCACAAGCCCAGATACAAACGAGCAATGGGGAATTATACTTGTAGATACACTAAAGCTAAATGAATTGATTTTTCCAAAAGAAAACCAAAACAGCTTGTAGGAAGCAAATCATTGGTAAAGAAAAGAAACCACAAAAGCAATAAACAACATCATAAGCCTGTTAACATTACACAGAAGAAAATGTTAAATAATCATCTTCATTCCCAAGTAAAAACGATTTGCCAAAACATTAACAGCAACAAGCAAAAGGCAGCCTTGCATTAAAGCCAGAGTTGGCACAAAGCACACTTTGGGTGTCACACACGCTTTGGTGACACAGAAGGGTCTTGCTCGATTGTGTCTGTCACTATTTGGTGGTGTGAAGCTGGCTGCAGTGCTCTGAGGCCAGTCCCACGGCCCCGCCTCTGCTCCCATTACCTATCTCTTCCTCGGAGCTCCCATCACCATAAGACACAGGCAACTTCCAAACACACAAAATAAACCAGATAGCTTATTTCCTGCTGCCCCCTGAGCAGTGCATAAGTTCAGTTTGAGGTGGGGAGGCCAAGGCATTTACTGCATTTTGTTTCATTCTAGTAATTTCCTGGGAAAGTGAAGGGATCCTGGGTAGTCACTGGTGCCTGATCTTCTGTACAGGTCTCAGGATGCTCACACAGCTATGCTCTTGTTCTGGTGGGTGTCTCTGGGTGCATGGCCACAGATGACCAGAATACAAATTTTATCTTTAACACAATTTAAATGAAAGCTCCAAGTGAAGGCTGTGGAGGGAAGAGCAGGACAGCTGCTTTGCTGGCTTCTCACTCTATTTCCCTAGGAGGCAGCACTGCACCGAGGCTTGGGGTGGAGGACTCCTCCTCAGCACAAGCTTCCCTGACAGCTACTGATGTACCAAACACATTCCTTCATCTCTGTTCTCCTTAGGTGGCACCTTTATGGTTTCCTAATGCAGTCTCTCCTGTCACCTGAGTGAGGGCTGCTGTGATACCTATCCATCATAGAAGGTTCCCCTCTTCTCAAGGCTCCCCTCCCCAAACTCAATCACAACAAAACACCTCCTGTTGAGCTTGCATAGTACTTGGAGAACAACACAGATACAGTCATGCTTAAGTGGGATGGATTCTTCCCCACAGAGCAGTGAGATTTCTAGGTTCTTGAGCCATTTCCCCAGTCCATCATCTGAACCTGTTACCACAAACTTGCCTAGAAAGGTTAAGCTTTCATCCCAGACAGCTGGGAGGAGGAAAGAGGAAGAACCTGGAGGACTTTACAGAGAAGTCTATCTCATACAGAGGCCAGCCTGGAAGACTGGTCTGGACCTGGGCCTATCAGCTCCTACAGCTGCAAGAAAGCTGCTCTGTGTATACAGAGATGCATGCTATGTTATAGCCAAATACGTCTATCTATAGTAGCTAAATGTTAATTTTAATCTGTTCCTTATTTTACTGTTTAAGATCTTATGTCTAACTTTTCATTTTGGAAATAGTTTTTTTACATAGTTATTTACTTTTTGATTGGACTTACTATTCCCCCAACGCTCGCTTACTATAACCTTGAATTCCTGAGATACTGCAGCATTCCTTGTCACAAAACTTTACTAAGATACAGCAACTATTTGTTACACATTCACCTTCTGCAATACAATTAAAGCAACATAATTGTTACTCAAATTGTAGCTACTGCTGTTCATGCTAGAATGAAGATTTTTGCTTCTCATCTATACTATCTGTTGAAAAGGTCTGAGAGACTCAATGAGCATTCATAGATCAATGTACAACTTTCGAAGCCTGTATCAACAGTCTTGTATTTCCAGTTTAATGTTATCTTCATGAAGGTAGACAACCCAGGCATCCACAGAGGAGCTGGTGGAATCATCCACCATGAACTAGCACACGAGCAGTTCACAGCAGTAAGGGCACGAACCATGTGAACTTTCCATTTTGATTGAGGATAACTTGATTTGCATGGATTGTGCAAGTGGTTTTGCCTTTAGGACCTCTGTCTTTGCCAGGGA